CCATCAAATTCTCCGGGGTTTGACATCTCTTGGAAAAAAGCAGTGTAGGAGACAGACTGATGGCCTGGATTTGCGTAGATGAATCACAACTCCAGTGCGAGTGCAGCTGACGTGTCGTTACCGTTGAAATAATCGTGCCTGTGCGGTCAGCAAGTTGCCAGCTGACTGGGGTCCAGGCCTTTATGCGACATATCTGAATCGAATCCTCACTGCAGTCATGACCTCAGCTTCGTCAACTGTGGTTATCTTCTTTGATCAGAGCGCTTCTCGGTCCTTACCAGCTGTAGCTGCCACTGCTTAGTAACACTTGGCCACCATGTCTGGCTCACTAGTTTCCAGCTGTCTGACAACACTGCACTCCGGCTCAGCCCAGCCTCGAAACCACTGATCCCGAAGATGTAGCTAGCACTCGAAGATCCAAGGTGGTCAGTTTGCCCCAGACCATCTAGAGGTGGCACTGCCTTAGCTACCAGGTCCTGCAGGAAATGTTCACGCTGGGGACCTGACCAACTGGCAAACCAGGGAAGAGTCCTCTTCACCTCCTGGGAAGGGGAAGTTAGTGATACTGTCTGGTACTGAGGGTGAAGGAGAAGGGAAGGAGAGTGGCAGGAAGAGGATGATTCCAGTGGCATCCTCCCGTTTCCTCTCTGAGGGCACCTGGAGATCGTCACAAGAGTCCTTAGACTCCAACTAGCACCACCGCTTCCGTGTTTCCTGAAAACCCTAAGCAGGGCCTGCCGGGCAGCCCCAGAAAGCCCTAGTTCTGTGCATCCTTGTATTCCACAAATTGTGGAATGCTTTCATGCTCTGAGGTTACCTTGCTAAGCACGTCAGTATTCTCAACCTCCTGTATCTAAATATAATGAACCAGGCTACCAAAAAACCAACCTGGGTCCTTCCAAGGTGAAAAACAGAGATACTGTACTTCACACTTCGGTGAGTTTAATGACTATGGAATTGCAGAGTTGTAAAAATTAGAAAGCAGAATGTGTGAACAGAACTTAGTTCACAGTAAAAGTAGCTTAAAAACAAAAGCCTGTGACCTTAAAATCTAAACAAAAGGAATGGTTGAAAATTGGGTGTTATGCATACATATTACTGCTATGTTAATAGAACGTGAAAGTGAATAATGGCGGTGGTATTGGTGGCAGGTGGCGTCTGCAGAAAGCACATATCTGCAGGAAAACTTGATAATCCACTGAATGAAACGGACTCTGTGACCCCTATGGGGTAGCACAGCATAGTGGTTTCCGAGCAGTATTTCCCAATTGGAGTGGTTCTCAAGGTCCACAAGAGACAATGTCTGGAGACATTTTTGTTGCCACAACCTGTGAGAGGGAGATTTCATTGGCATCTCGTAGGTAAAAGCTAGAGATGAACTAAACATTTTATGACACACAGACTAGCTCCCCATCAGAAATTTATCCATCCCAAACATCAACAGTATCCAGTTGAAACTTTGCCAGGGTACCTGGGGTTGGAACCAGATATGCCATTTGCTAACTGTGTGACCCTGAGCTAACTACTTAACCTTTCTGAGCCTTAGCTTTCTTATCTGCAAAGGGAAAAGATGACAACTAACATAATGCAACAAGCTTTACAAAAACGGAGGAGCTATGAAATGTTGTAGGACAGAGGCATGATCTAGTAATAAGAATTATTCGGGGGAGGGGGGACAGGTGGCGTGGTGGTTAAGGGCACTGGACTCCCACATGGCTGATCGTGGTTCGAGTCCCAGACCTGACAGCTTGCTTTCTCACTTTCTCTCTCTGGTCAAATTAAAATAAATATACATAGTTAAAATAACTCTTGAAAAAAAGAATTATTCCCTGGTGGAAAATCGTAGGAAGGGCTGCAGTAGACCTACCCTTCTTTATAAATCACACATTGCTATAAAGATAGTACCAGGTTTGGGACCAGCAGGTGGCTTAGTGGTTAGGGCACTGGACTACCACAAAACCGACTGTAGCAGTTCAAGTCTCAAACCTGGTACTGAAACCAAGCTGGGACCCTCTAAAAGGAGAGAACCTTCAGTTTATTATTATTATTTTTTAGAAGAAAGTGTAAGTTCCCAAAATGAAAACTGATTAGAACTAAACATATCTATCCAGATTGACTGACGAGAGGTCCATTTAAATGTAGATAGTACATTCAAGTCTCTTGACCCTGACTACACCCACTCCCTCCCTGAGATAACTATTTGAATGTATACCCTAGCTTACAGTAAACCGCACCTTCCTGTAGTAATAGATGACGTTTATCTAAAAACTGTCACTTAATGTACTAAAAAGAAGCTTGTAACTTTCCTCTTTGTCAAAGAAATCAGTAGGAATTAAGATGTAGAAGTTTTGTGTCACACATACCTTAAGATGTTTTGTAGGACAAGGATCATTGACCACATCACTTCCAGGCTGAAATGCACCAAAGGCCTGATGATCGCCCCCTCCCAGAACATTGATCATCTAAGGCCTCACCGATCAAGAATGCAGAAGAGATGATCACACCCTCTTAAACCAATCACACACTTGGAACCTCTGCCCCTAATTTTGCCCTTAAAAATGCATGTGGGGAACATCTCGGGGTGACCGGGTCTTTTCAGCATGAGCTGCCCGCTCTCCTTGCTTTGTGCTTTGCCATAAAGCTGTACTTTCCTTCATCACACCATGTGCCTATGGCTTGGTTTTATAGTGCTTGGACCAGCGAACCTGATTTGAGTTCGGTAACAGTAGCTTGAAAATCACGCCTGGTGCGTGTGCGAACATGCTCAAAATTCTGAGAGGAGAATTGAAAAGGAACTGTGGTGTGACCATGGCCCCTGGGAGGTGATTTCTCACCTTCCCTCTTTCTGTCTCTGTCTGTCTAGCAAGTGCATGCATGCATCCTATAACAAAATATTAAAAAAAAAAAAAAAAGGAAGTACCAAGTTAAGTTACTTAGAGTAACTGGTAAATAGGCAAACCAAATTCAAATTCTTTGGTGCCTGTCACATTGTCTAAATCACATTTGGAGTAACTGGCTGACTCAAGATTTAGCCTTGACTTCTTTCATATTCCACTCATCATCACTGGCTTGGTTTTCACAGTCAAATATTTTCCCTTTAGTCCATGACTATGAACATGCACCACGCCGCATTCTCTTCCCTGGATCACTGCACTAGCCTACTAATTAATCCACCTGCTGCCTCTCTAGCTATTCTCCACAGTGCAGTCACAGGGACAGGGGGCCTTTCATTATATCACTCTCCTTAAAACCTTCCAGGTGTCTATTTCACTCAGGCCCCTCCTCTCCTTCCTCCTTACCCAGGTCCAGCCATGCTCTGCCACAGGGCCTTTGCACTTGCTCTTTCTATCAGCAAGGCTAGTCCCTTGGTGTAGGTGTCTGCCCAGATGTCACTCGATCAAGGAGGCAGGCCCAGAACCCCGATATAAGCTAGGATCCGCAACCAGCAGACGGCCTTCCCTCACAGGCCCGCACGCTCTTTTTCCCTTTTCCCTGCCTTTTCTAGTTCTGTTAGCACCTGCTTAACAGAAACACCTGTCTCCCCAGTGTACATGCAATGAACACAGGAGTGCGCGTGTTCGCACCTGTGCCCTCGTGCCTAGCTAGCCAGTATTTGTCCCTTTGCTTCTGTGGCCCAAGTGACATCTGGCCGGCCTCTCAGGAAGCTCTTTGCCTTACGATACTTTCCCCGTAACATGGGAAGCACGCAGAACACCGGGACACCCTTCAGCCCCCACACTGAGGGACCCTAACTCTCCCCCCTCCCACCCATCTGCAGAAATCCGGGAGACGTTAGGTGAGCCGGCCGCAGTGCCCCGACGGTCGGACTCCGGGGGCCCTTTCGTGGCCTGTCCTGTGAGGCTGGTACGTGCAGAGAGGAAGCAGATGGGGAAGCGGCCTCGAGAGAACTGGCCTGCTTCAAAACCCGCATTTCTGCCGTCACCTCCTGCGGCTAAGGCCACAGCTCTGCGGCCGCTCCCCGAGAGCGCGCCGCGCCGGCCGCCAGCCTCCCGAGGGGCGCCGTTTAATGGCGGCGAAGGGACCACCACGCGTCCGCCTTAGGGCTCCAGACACAATCTACTTCTGTGTTAGCACCTAAACTGTGCTCAGCGGGGAAGGCCACACGATTGGTCCAGAAATGGACCTCAGCTGCGCCAGCAGAGTGCTTTAACTCAGCAGGGACGTCGCCGCTTCCAACTCCTGGAAGAAAGGGAGCCGGCGCAGCCATCATGGCTGCCGGCAACAGACAACCCAAAGAAAATGGCGCCGGGCGCGCGGCCAGGCTCGGCGGGCACGGGGCGGCGGAGGGAAAGGGCCCTCGGGGACATCGAGGAGGGCCAGCCAAGGACCTTAAGGTCTTCCTGGCTTCTGGCACCTGGAGACCGTGAAAGCTGACGAGTACAATATGGAGGGCGGTTATTGTCTCTGCAAAGCGACCCGTACCAGCAGGCCCCGGGCTCTGTCCCGCGGTCGGAATCCGGCAAAATCCTCTATTCTCTAAACAGAATGCGTTACGCACACTGCGCATCTTCGCAACAGTGGGCCGCCTAACGACGCAAAGAATGTTACGTCCCTCCGGAGGCTCTTGCCCCGCCCAGCCCCCGTTCGAGTTCAGGAGGCGCGAGGACTCTACGCCCACTCCGTACTTAGTTTCTCTTCTCCCTTCCGCAAAAGGCGCCCGTCTCCGCCACGGACGTAAATCCCTTCCCAGAATACTCCTAGTATCCCCCGCGGAGTCCTCGGGCTATTCCGAGACGCTGTTTACGTATCGTCTCCGACGTACGTAGCGTTAAGTTGGAGCAGTCTCAGCGGCGGGGGCCGCTTTTTGGTGGCGCCGGGGAGACGCCTAAACCACGGCGCTGCCGGGTTTGCGCGTAGCCAAACCTGCCCCGCACTTTTATATCCCCGATTCTCTGTGTTTTGTTCC